GGAAGAGCGAATACGTTTGTCAAAGAGTTCCGATAGGTCATTAAAAGTATCAGGTACAAACACTGCCATCAGCCTTGATTCGTAGTTTTCGAATTCTCGATCACGACTGCGCACGCGTGTGTACGTGTGTGCGTGCGTAGGTACGTGCGCGCGTATTCATGTCGTGCGTACGTTATATGCTGTGTGTACATATTTTGTATTAAAATGATAATGATATAAAAATAATAAATTACACGTATACACATACATTTACATACATATACACACACTGCCGGCAATCAGACATATTCTTATGCATATTTCAACATTTCCTATTCTTGCGCGCCTCGCGTCTATCTCTACATACAATTATTCATTAACCCCAGGATTACACATGCTTTTATACGTCTCTTAGAGATAGCCAAATTTCTGCCAACTTTTGCCACACAAGAGATAAATAAAAGTGCAAACTTCTCAACAAATTCCTTTTCCAAGAGAATGCCACACACAGTTCTCTACTAGAGTATAATTATAAAATCAAAATTCAAGTCTGTTTGGAAAATATAAATATTTTAGGAGAAATGTTCACGTAACACTGACCAATACTGACGACTGAAAATCTTTTGTCTAGTTTCATCACAGACTTATGTGTGTAGTCTGCGGGTTGATGACCGATTAATTCATACTTTATATCTATATTGTATGCCCCATTGTAATCAATTGCATTATTTTTTAATATCGCAGTCGACTCTTTTTCTTTCATCGCGAAAACGCGATGGGACCGTGTAACATTGCTAATTTTATACTTAATATTACAATTTCATTTCTATTTATACGCATTAATTTATGTATCATGTATACAATGAAAAAAAGATGGAAAAAAGGAGCAGAATGTGTGGAATATCAACAAATGTCTACATAAATCTCGTATGGGAATCCTTTCCCTTCATTATAGAATTCTTGTAATAGAATCTGGCTACGAGACAAACCTTTGATTAGTCTGTCTGTTTTTGTACTTCAGCAAGCTAGAATGAGTAAGACAATATAAGTTAAAATGAGGTAACGAACAGAATTTATAACAATATAAGTTAAAATGAGATATAGAACAGAATTTATTCTCTTCAGCATTTATAAGGAGATTTAGTTTACAAACATTATTTCTACCTCATTCATTCAATTATATTTTTCTTTCTCCTACTTCAAATTTTTGCCTTGCTTTTCTTTTTATTCTTCTTACATTTCTCGAAATAGTATATAAATAATATATAAAAAGAGAAATATATAATCTTCTTTCTAATTTTTTTTTAACAAAATTGTTCATGGCCAGACTATGGAGTGTCTACCCTTCACCCCCCTCCCCCAATTTGTCACGTCCCTGATACCTTTGTCGTTATCAAGGCATCACGTTATCGACGCTACCGTCTTGAGTAACCTGAGTTCGAGAAATTCGCCGTTAATCGGCGCAACGATCGCCAAACCACGAATAATCTCTCTTCCGGATGTCACCGATTATTCGCGTCATCGCGCATCGTCCATAATTATTTATCGAGGAGACAAACGATACAAAGTTTTGTCAGCGCAAATAATTTCCGGATGACAATGACGGCGAGTTCGAAGCAAAGCTCCAAGCGGTCGAAGTGGGCCCTAGACTTTGCACACAGGTACGTAACCTAATTGACACGTCTTCTATGAGTACACGTGTCGATTTAACGCATTTAAATTGTCGACATTAGCCAGATACTCATGTATTAAATATTAAAGTTCGTTCTTTTTCGACGCGATCTTTCTAATATTTGTATTCGGAGAAAAATGTCTAAAATACGGACATAAAACGTCCTAAAGATGTCCTAAAGACGTCATTAAAAACATATTTTTAAGATGTGTTACATCTCCTTTTTGAACTTGCTTGTTGTCTGAGTATCTTCCTACTCAGTCTTAATTAAATAGCCTTTAAGTAGCCGCTGCTGGAAAGAAAGATCTGTTATATGGCATTTTTCATAAATGATTAATTAGTAAACCAAATATTCTCTTTGCAGAACGAAACAGGACAAAAATGTGGAGATACCGTCTCCACCAGGGTATACACCTACCGGTGGCCTCTTTCACAATGTCGAGTACATGAGGGAGTCTGACTCTAATCTCCTGATAATAAAGAAGTCGTGGGACCTGGCTTTGGGACCCCTGAAACAAGTGCCCATGAATTTGTTCATCCTGTACATGGCTGGTAGCTCCGTTTCGATATTCCCCATCATGATGGTCGGTATGCTCATCATCAAGCCGGTCAAGGCGCTGTTCACCCTCCAACAAAGTGAGTTGATTTCAAATTGTAAAAATGCTGAAAGCATAAATGCCTCAACAATGCTCTATAATCACATGCTTCCTCTGCTCAGCGTTCAAAGTGATCGAAGGTACGCACGCGTGCGGACAAAAGTTCGTGTACTTCCTAGGACAATTAGTGAATATCGCGTTAGCTCTATACAAGTGTCAGTCGATGGGCCTGCTGCCGACGCACGCGTCCGACTGGCTGGCATTCGTCGAACCTCAGACGAGATTGGAGTATTCCGGTGGAGGTTTCATGTACATTTGATGTGAAGGGATCGGTCAGGAGGCATTGTAAGTATTTGGCATACGCGCCCACGTGAATTATAGTTAAATTATACTGCAAGGACATGTGTGTCATGCGTTTAAATATTGTTTATTAAAATAAATGTATGGAAAAATAAGAGTGACTTGTCTTTGTACATTGCATTGAGTACATATATATATATATATACATAGATATATATCGACGTTTCCTTGAGAGTTATAATGTTACATTTACATCATATTACATCGATAATGGCATATCCGTCTTCTAGTATTGGAAGTGGTTTTAGAAATATACATTGCTACAGTATGCTATGGCTTCTTTTTATTCTCTTCTAGAAACTGAAGTACTCGCTGATAAAGTTTCGATGGTTCATCCACTCGTGGCACCTATGGCAAAGATTAGCTTAAAACATTTACTTAATAGGTACACATCTCGTTTTATATAATTTTCAATTCGAATTAATTTAAAGGAGACAGTAGATATCATTGATAAATAAAGTTAAATATCGTTTATACGTGAAGAATCAGTGACAATTTATGTATATTTATTTTGTCATATATAAACCAATTAAAGTTGTAAAAGCATTTCTTATCTTATTGGATTTGCTTACCTCATAATTTTGGGCTATGTATATTCCGGCGTATACTCCAATACTCAGACTGATCTGCAAATCATTAGAAGAAGTAGAAATGGTCTTCACAATTACGAGAATCATATGTTTTTACATACCAAAAACCGAAGCATATTGAGGGTTCTCAAAACAGATTTAGTCAACCAGTGAATTACTTGCTGACGCTCGTGAAATACCGCTAAACATTCAGATAGAAGTGCACTGACGTACGCTCGAACGTCAAGCATTAAACACGCATGAGCATGATAAGAAACAAGAAAGCCGTCAAGATCACTAGTTATTTTCAATTTGGTTAACTTTGTAACTAGATCTAGTTATTTCTGATGCTCATTTTACCTGGAGATGAAAGAGGGCGCAACTTTTATTTTTTAATTTTGCACGAAATATTTTTCTCATCTTATTATTTAAATATTTCATTTAACGAGATTAATAAATTAAAATATTTGCACTTCTATAAATAATAATTTTATATTTAAGTAACATGAAAATATAATAATGCTTTCTACAATAAGCCATTATAAGTTTTAAGCCATAAGAAATTGATCAATCACAGTCAAATGTGTGAGAAGAATAATAAATTGTAATTGGTCAATTTCTTGTGACTTAAGATTTAAAGATTAGGTAATGGCTTATTGTAGAGCCCATAAAATTAAAGGCGATTAGTGTTATGCCTGAGGAAATGTTGCATATAATAGTTATTGTTTGATTTTATTACGTACAATTTGCCTTCAAAATATATGTATAATATTATATTGAGAGTAATAACGTAATACATCACAAAGACAGAGAAGAATCCTTAGCTTGATCTAATAAATTTGTGAGGACTTTTTTATAGAGATAATATTGGTATGTATAATCTACTTCTTAAAAAAAATCATTATTTTCTCATAAGAGATTCATTTAAATGTATGTAAGGTCAATATCGCTTAATAAACTACAAAAGTAAGACCTTTATCATCTAAGAGATTTTTGTCGCGAGAGTGACGTATTAACAATTGACAAAAAAGAAACACAAAAATCCTAAAGTTATATTCAAAATAGTTCTGAATCATTTATAATATAAAAATCAGAGAAGATTCAAAATTTGAAGACTGAGAATTGCAAACATGAATTCATATACATGTGTGTGGGTGTGTGTGTGTGTGTGTGTGTGTGTTGTGTGTATGCATGCGAATGGTCTAATAACCATCTTCGTCATCTTCATCCATGGCGAAATCACTACCAACTCCGGAATCCGGCACGTAGAGAGGGCTGCGAAACAAAACAGATAAATCACATTACAAGTTGAAAGAGAGAAAAAAAAGACAAAAAAACGTTCCTTTTTCTAGAAACTTACTTTATCGCTCTGCACGTGAAAAATACGATGCGCTTCAGTTTTTTGTTGTAGAAGAAATAATTGAAAGACCACAGACATCCATCTTCCCCAAAAGGATCTGATGCGAAGTCTGGATTGTAACTGTAAAACATTCTTTTACATTATTTCGTATTATTCTTACTTAAATAATTTTACACTTACTCCTACTTGATGCCATAGAATAATTTAATTCAGTGTTCAGGATCTGTGTGTACCTTCTACTTTTTATTTATAGTAGAGCAAGATGATCGTGAATAATCGGGTGTTTTACCTATAAATATCACACCCGTGCAATGATATCTCTTTGTCAACAGCCGCCCAAAGAGCGGAACGTAATGATCGATAATGATCGCCCGCGGTAGCGTTGAGATTACCATCCACCGCATTCATTACCCACTGTAGGCTTGGTTCCTTGCTGAACTCGTGGCTCTTGGCGTCCGAGAAATCATAGTCTGGATTAAAGGTTGAATTCAACGTGGCGATCAGATAAAATAATGTTTTCTTGCTGATCGTGTCGCACAGTGGACCCTCTTCGTCGCCGGAAACGCTACGACTGTAAGAGGAAAACAATGTTGTGATAATAGTCAACTTGTGACTAAGACCAGTCCGTTCTTATATTTAAAACCGTCTAAATTTTAAGATGTCATAAACCACAGACTGGTATTTATAATCCGTTCTGATTTTAAAGGATGATATTCATAGTCCGTCCTAAATAATATCTTAAAACTATTACAGCCGTCTTAAGTACGGTCTTAAGAAGTCACGAACCAATCAGAAGGCTGCATTAGCGTCTTAAGACATTATTTAAGACAGTCTTGAAATAAGAATCGACTATGAATACCGGCCTAAGATTTATTTTAAGATCATCTTAAGTAATGTCTCATGGGGTTTCTATAATAAGTCATTACCTATGTCTTAAGCTATAAGAAATTGATCAGTCATTATTCCTCTCACATTCGACTATGACTGATCAACTTCGACTATGACTGATCAATTTCTCACGACTTAAGATTTAAAGCTTAAATAATGATTCATTGTAGAATGCGTATTAAGATGTTAATACAGATCCGAATTAGCGTCTCAATACATTACTTACGACGATTTTGTAATAAGAACTAATATCGATTTAAGCGTATGCATGCAAGAGATAATAAAATCTTATTCTGAAAATTAGTCAATCAGCGCGAGATGACTTAATGTGTTTAAATCGACCGAAATTCTTATAAGCACAAATTAATAATAGGTATTTTTCAAAGGTACCTCAAGCATCCCTGAGCCGGAGATGTTCCCAAAGATGTCTGCGGTGGTGACAAAGCTTGTAGATCGTGTGGCGTACCACCCTGCTCTGCGTTGTATCGTTTGTACATTTGCTTGTCGTTGGCTGTCATTTTGCAAGAATAACTTTCGATCCTACAATGGTAAAGATGCAATATAAATAATAACAAAATGGTTCAAGATAATGAATGCTTCCCACTTATGTCTATTTCCACTAATGTAGATTAACTTTGATCTCGGTTTATCTTCTCTCCATCTTTTTCTAATCTTTAGAACCAGAATAACACCAGTTTCCACCAATGTAGATTAACTCTAATCTTGGTTCAACTTACTCTTTATCTTTTTCTAATTCTTAAAACTAGAAAAACATAAAACAGTTGCATTGGTAGAAATGGACATAAAATGAAGAGTAAATTGAACCAAATTAAAGTTAATCTATATTGGTGAAAAATGGACATTGATACAAATCGACACAAACATGATTCTGTCTTTCTTGACATTCAATGAGCAACAAAGAGCAACACTTATGTCAAATGGAAAACACTTTTAATAGGATTTAAGTATAGTCTCCATTTGCGTTACCTTCCGATTATCTTGCTATCTCCGGTCTTGATGGACAAGGCACTGTTTATAGCTTCCAAATGGGTATTCTCCAGCAGCTTCATCCTGCTGATAACTGCGATCTTTCTGATTACACTGTAAACTGTGGCTCCTTGGAATGCTGGAAAACTAGCGTTGTTTCAGTATCTCCCAGTCAATTGGGCTTACCCAACTTACAACGTTGACATCTCTTGGAGCTCTTGTCACTCGCTGTCCAGGCGATTCTAGATATGTTTTTTTGCTCAAATTCTCAAAGGCTAGGCCGTTCAGTACAAGCGAAATGTCAAGAAGCTTCTATAACTCCTTTGACTTATCGGGTTGCTGAACATCTCTTTTATGTGTATGAAAATTCCTTTCCTTTTCGAGTGGACGAGATTAATTGTCGACGTAGTGGTCTTCCCGGCTTCCTTGCTGTACTTGCACATTACAGATAGCTAGTTAAGGATTTGGGGGAAGGTGATCGAGTTCCAGAGCGGGCTTTGTTGAACGTGAGATCAAGGCCCTTCACTCTCGAAAGAGTACACAGATGAGTACTAGTTCTTAACACAGTGCGCTGCCCGCTTGATAGAAGCTGAGTGAAAGAGGGAGACGGAGAAACACAAGATACACGGGAGAGAAAGAGAGAGAGAGAGAGAAAGCGAGAGACTGAGCGATGACGCGACGAATCTGCCGATAAACAAAGGTGCGCTTCTTCGAAATTACGAGACTGAGCTCTGGAATAAAAAATTATCGTCTCTCCGGCGAAGGCCGCGCGAACGAACGCACACACACACACGCGCGCGCACACCACACCACACACAGGCGAAAGGACAACTTCTCGCGGTGTTCTTCGAATTGACAGGAGACGTCAGATTTCAGCCTCGAGCTGCTTTCTTCTCGCTCGGAGGAAAAAGTGCAAGAGAGGAAGATATATATATATATATATATTTATCGAGAAAGACACAATGTCTCACGCGTAGCGCCCGCTACTGACGATAACAATCCATAATCACGGACATTGTTGCTTCGCTATAGCTGATACGTATCACGGTCACTATAAGGAACAATGTACGCCTCCTGAGAAACTTGTCGATCTCGTCGAACGCGTCTCCTGCACAACAACCCTGACAACACACTCGACCTTTCTCGCGCGCGAGCTCGACCAGTTTACCAACTCTAAACTCTAATTGCGACTCGGTGTCAGTCCGCGTTCATCGCAAACAGAAACGCGACAACGATGTGTGTATGTATGTATACGCTCACGAATTCACGTACGTACACAGACGCTCGTGTGAGTGCGCGTGTGCCCTACGTACGTGACAGAAATAGCAATAGCAGTGGGGGGCCGGGAGGGGGAGCGAAGGGAGACTGCGGGGAGACGTATCGTATCGCTCTCTCGCTCGCTCGAATGACTTTGGCTCCCCTCGATCTCGCTCGTGCGCCTTCGTCGCGCCAATGGGTGGGAGAGGCACGCGTACGCGCAGCCAATCGCGTTACGTCAGCGACACACGCGCGTGTGCGTGACGCGTTGCGAGGACGCGCGGTGTGTTGCGTGCGTGTGTATGGTGTTTGTACGAGACCGTGACCGGGAAGAGCTTGTCTCTTTTTGACTGAAACGAAACATCGGCTCTCTCTCTCTCTCTCTCTGCCACTCTCAGCTGCAGCTCTTGCACTCCCTGTTTGTTGAAACGAGACGATTGCATGTCGTAACGTAAACAGGGACGAGGAGGGGGAAAAAGACCACAGAAGACGATTAAGTCCACAATTTAAAACACGAAAGCTCGGTTCTACCGATATAAGATTTTAACTTTAATTTCAGTTTGACTTATTGTTTATCGTCTTCTCTAATTATATTGAAATTAAAAAAAGATAAAGAGTAGATTGAAGCAAAATTAAAATTACTATTTGTTTTTTTTTAATTCTTAGAATTATGCTCGTTTTTATCATTATAGATTAATCTTGGTTTAATTTACATTGTATCTTTTTCTAGGAATTGGAAAAGGATAAAGAGTAAATTAAACCGAGATTAAAATTAATCTACGTTACATTGTTAAAAGTGGACATTTAGTATTAAAAAAAGATAAAGAATTGATCCGAGATTAGAATTAATTTTACATTAATGGAATTAGTCGAAATCCATTTATGAATTAGCGCAGTT